GGTCCCCTCCTCACCTCTCCCCAGACCTGGACCCGTGCGCCCGCCGAGTCGAGGATAGGCAAACCCGCCCGCACCTGCGTCTTCTCTGAATCACCCGGTACGATTCTGCACACGTGCATTACTCTTAACCTTAACCCTCCCGTTTGCACAGATCGACTCTCGGGCACGGGCAGAGCAGGCATGTCCAGGAGCTGAGCGCGTCGCTGAGGTTGGACGGAGAACTGTCGCCTTTTGTGAAGCTGGCCCTGGACAGGGCGCAGGAACGCCAGGAAGAGCACGCCGACGTGCCTCGCTTTCGGGATGCGGCCCGTCCCGCCCCCGACCATCCCGTGCACCGCCTCGCCGATCTCGAACGAGGCATGTTCGGGCACCTCAACGTGGACGTGGCCGGCCCCGCGATGCCATCCGCGACGTCCAGGAAGCGCCGGCGACAGAGACAGGCCGTCGACGGACAGAAGGTGCGCCTGAACTTCCCTCCCCGGCCCCGGCCCGGCTCCGGCCCGGACCCTCGTCCCGCGGCGTAACCTTGTTTCCGTATGGACACGTACCGCCGTCACGTGCGCCCTTTCACCTTGCCCGCCGCGCCGCCGCGGCCCCGCCGGACCAAAGTCTCTAGTGCTGTCCTTTTGCAGGCGCGGGATGCGGCAGCCGGCTCCTCGGCCGGGGGTGGAGCACAGAGAGGAAGGGCGGACGGCGCGTCGCTGTGGGACGTCCGTGCCCCTGTCCCTGCGCCGCACAAGGTGCCGCCCGCCCCGAGCAGGCGCGGCGCCCCCGCTATAGAGCGCCGCCCGCACGGCCCCGCACGCCCCCAGCAGTACACCGTTGTGGACGGGAAAATCGTGAAGCTGGGAGGCGGTGCTGATGCCGCGCGCCCCAGGACGCACGAGCCGTTAGACACCAAGCGCACCAAGGGGGAGGTATTCGTCCCCACCGGGGAAGGCATCCTGTCCGTCCAGGACTTGGAGAAGAACCGACTGTCCGTGGAGGAAATCCGGCAGCTGCCGAGGTTCGCCTCGTACGAGGAAGGATCTCCGTCTGCCGTAAGGGACCGCACAGCTCTTTCCCCGCAATTAAGGTTAAAGGTCTTGAGTTACTCGTCCTCCTTTACAGGTGCTGTACGTGAAGAACCTGGACGGCGCCGTGACGGAGGACGACCTGGCCGCGGTGTTCGGGTGCTTCCGCGCGGATGGCGGTCCCAGCCCCACCCTGCGCCTGTGTGGCGGCCGCATGCGGGGGCAGGCCTTCGTCACTTTCACAAGTACGTAGTGCACGGAGTACGTGCCCATCCCATGGGTGGAAAGTTGTCGCACCTCTCTGCGGGTCGTTTCTGGGTAGAAGCAGGAAGCGGGGCCCCCGTTTTCACTGCGGGTATATACCGACCGCGCGGGTCGGGTAACTTTAAATCTCCCAACTGCGGGAGGATAATGAGGGTTTAGGGGGTGAGGCGAGGTGCCGGTCTGATCGGGTGGCGTGTGGGCGGCGGCCTACGGCGCGGCGCAGCAACAGTTCCGCCGGCGGGCAGAACGACACGCAGCTTATTAATAAAGTTTACCTTTGGCGCGAGTCGACTGAGACGCGGGGAGGAGGGGAGGGGGTACTAACCGTACCAGATGTGTCACGCCAACAATGTTGCCAGTCCCGCGAGTAGACTCCGCGACCTCCTTGTCGGCCTGCCCATACCGGCACGACCCCCCCTCCCTCCCACTCACACACATGCCAGGTGGCTGATTTACCCCGCTCACTCCTGTAGTTAAGCTGTACCGCACGCACGAGTGTGGGCGGGGTTGCCTATCGCCCGTGTCCACGGCGCCTTACGAGCCGAACGAGTAGGCAACCCGCTCGCACTCGTGCGTGTGGTACAGCATGGCTACAGAAGTGCGCGGGGTTAATCAGCCACCTGGTACACTTGACCCGATGTTGTTGTTGCAGCTGAAGCAGAGGCTGCGGCCGCACTACGGGCCACCAACGGGTACGTCCTCAGGGGGAAGCCCATCATCGTACAGTACGGCCGAAAGCAGGGGCCCTGACCAGAATATGCACGAGTTCATGGCACGTATGTATTTTTAATCAAATAAAAAGACTGGTAGTTTATAACAAAAGAAAAAAATGTCGAATCTAATTTCTGGTTACCTTTCTTCCTCTGAAAAACAAATGCTCGTAAATGGCCAAATCTCCACAACGTTATGTACAGTATAGTCTAGGTTCAGCATGCGTAGAGGGTGCTTTGTAAGCAACAAATTTACAGTCGGGTTCACATCGAAGTTTCAGCGTGGGTGTAGTGATACCTGCTGATGTCTTTTCCGGACTTGAGGACTCCGGTTGCCGGGCCGTGCCGCTTGCCGCTGGCGCAGCTCGGGGTGCGGCGCCGCGTTGCGAGGCGTCTGGCCCGTCTAGCGCGCAGTGGAGCGTGAGCGCGGCAAAATCACGAATAGCCAACGGACTGTTATCGGCGCTCAGCAGGCGTTCAGCACCGGCAGCTCAGTCACTCAGCCAGTCCCTCAGCCACCTGGAGTTCTAGAGCCAACCGACCGAGAGCTAAGAACGAAACACGCCGTGTGATTTGATCCCCCCGCCCCTCTCCACGCGCCTTTTCCCAAATTTTCCTTACCTCTACCGCCAGTCCTTCGAGACGCGGAGGGTTCAGGTGCACGCGTCCTGGTCACGATCGTTGGGACAGCTTCCGTGGGCAGCAAACCCTTCGTCATCTAGCACGGGCTCGTGGTCCGCGAGTGTGCGCGGGGGATTGCAGCCGGGGTAGGGGCACAAATCCACTCAGGCTGTCTACGTGCGCCGCGCCGCCCGGCTCACCCGGCCTACACGCGCCCGGTTTTAGCGCCCTCTGACGTTGCTGGATGGAGAGGGGCTGGGCGGGTTGGGGGGTTGAACCCTGCTGCAGGTACCCCGCGTTAAGTGATTACCGGTCGGAGCGTTCGGACGGGGCGCCGCCGGCGCACACGGGGGAGACGTGGACGATTTGTGCGTCGATTAGGGCGGCGACCGTGCTGCCGTAAGGGGCGAGTGTCGGAACGGCAGCGGCAGGGCGGAGCCCGGGCGGAGCCGGGTGGAGCCGGCGGGGCGGGGCCGTTCTCGCAACACGCTCCTCTCCTCTGGGCTGGGGAAGTTACTTGATGAGAAGATGCGACGCCCCCCTCTCCCCCTTGCCTGCGGGGCATGCGGGGGACGACAGCGCCGTCGTTGGCAGCGGATATGAATCTAATAAAAGAGATCCAGGATTGTCGCCTCAACGCCCCTGACGCGCCCAGGCAGGCGCCGAGGCGAGGCGTGGCGCTGTTAATTAGGTGTGAATCATTCACCTGCTCCGCTCGGCTCCGTTCGGCTCGGCTCCTCCCCTCCTCCCCTCCGCTGCTCCTCCGCCTTGCCTTGGCGCCGCCAACGCACTACGGGGAGGCAGCCAAAGCCAGAGGGATGGATACCTCCGTCTCCGGCTCCAGCTTTCCTGGAATCTCAGATCCTATCGGCAGCCAGAGCAAATGGCAACACTTTTACAACTCGTTTAGTCGGGCCTTCACAGGGTGGTCCACCACTTTTCTTTGAGTGTGTCCGAATTCCCAATCGTATCGCTACGAATCGGTCGGAATGACGAATGGGAGGGGGTGGTCAGCAGGGAGGGCAACCTGAAGCCATCCCTCGCGAAAGGACGTCGCGGTTCGCGACTACCCCCGCGGACGAGCGCGAATCGCGACGTCCTTTCGCGAGGGATGGCTGCAGGTTGCCCTCCGCTGACCACCCCCTCCCCTTCGTCATTCCGACCGATTCGTAGCGATACGATTGAGAATTCGGACACACTCTTTATTTTGCCCATACTGTACTGCATGCCGTTGAACGGAAGGGTTGCATACTCAAACGCAGCCATAGCGACGGTAGGAAAGCCCGCACGCACGCCTGCATGCGGTGCAGTTCGAGGAAGGGGTCGGTGGACCACCCTGTGCGTCACCATGCAGTAGTTCAGCATCAACTTCGGTTCTCTGACGTGCTTGTGAACTGCCACATGCGTCTAGAAAGTTTTTCCGTTTTTCACAGATTCATTCGACAAATTACGAGAGCTCGGCGCTAGGCGCCTGTGAGACTCAGGGTAGGCCACCACGGAGTGCACGCATGCACTGTGTCCATGATGTTGCCTACCTACCAGGCGCTTTGAAAGTTAGCATAATCAACTGCTCAACACTTGTAAGTGTGCAACCACACGTTCAATACTTGCAAACAGTTATGTTTATTCAAACAACACAACCTCAAACTTTAAGTATTTGGCAGCTTTGTAATATACAGGACCTGCTTTATTACAAAGCATTTACAAGTGCTTTGTGATGCAAAGCAAATGCTTTAATACAAAGCTTACAAATTCTTTGAAAGCTACAAAGCAAATGCTGGCAAATGCCTTGTATCACAAAGCACCACTCTGTATCACAAAGCACCACTCTGTATAACAAAGCATCGCTTTGTAAGGTTTTACGGTGGGATTAATATTTCTGCTAAATTGCTCTGTAACTTAATCTCGATCCCCGAAGCGATTCAATATGGAGCCCCACCCCCGGAGTGACCTACACTGTTAAATGTGAAACGCTAGACGTAAGGGCACCTGGCGTTACCTGAGGATGATCTCTAGTAGTGCCTCTCAATAACTAATTTAGAACACTCAGTCTCCCACTCTGTTGAACATTCAGTGGTGCCTCCTCGTACTAGCTGATGTAGAACGCCAAGCCTGGTACCCACGCTTTACATTGGGCGCTCTTCATTAGGAAATGTGAGGCACAGGCACTACATAGTCTAATTGAGGCAATGTGAGGCACTGTGCCCTGTGCCGTGCCCCACATTAGCACGCTTTACATTGGGCTCTCTTCATTAGGTAATGTGAGGCACAGGCACTACA